AGAGAAAGATTTTGCAGGGGTTTACAATTGGTGTGTACGTTTTCATCTTGCTTAGATCGCAAAAAGCAGATCAACAACCTACTATCCTCCATAAATTGGCCCAGAGACTCTTCACATGAAGGATGGGAATTCCCACAGTTTTTAGGTTTCTATCAGTCTTGCTATGAAATAACTACTTTAGCATAAGATTGAGCTTTGTACCTTGAACCTTTACTATTTTACTTAGTAAATATAACATGATTACTCATCAACTAGTCTCTAAAGCATTTGGGACTTACGTGAGCCCTCCAATCAATTTTGTCATTTTAGTTATGAACATGTCTTTTTTCTAATGAAGAAGCAACACACTTTTTAATTACTTTGGGATTGCTGTTGTTTCTTTTTTAAAGAAACACACCTCACCCACCATAACTATTCATCTTGATATTTCATTAAGGTGGATGCTGGGTGAATTTGTGCAATGCTATAAACTTCTGTCAGAAACAGCCATTTCTGGTTTGTTTGTTTTTGTTTACTTTTTTTCTGCTTTATTAAAATACTAGTGGTCCAGTGCACAAAATTCACAAAAGGAGGGGGGTTCGCTCAGCCCAGCCTGCACCCTCTCCAATCATGGACCCTTGGGGGATATCCAACTGCCGGACATTCCTCTCACAATCTGAGACTGCTGGCTTCTAACTGCTCACTTGCCTACCTGCCTGATTGCCTCTGCTCTGCCTGCCTGTCTGATCACCCCTAACTGCCCTACTGGCCTCATCTTGTCCCCACCTGCTCTCCCCTGCTGGCTTGATCTTTCCCCCAGCTGCCCTCCCCTGCCAGCCTGATTTCGCTCCCAACCGCCTCTGCCTGCCTGATCACCATTAGTTGCCCTACCCTTTTGGCCTGATCTCACCCCCAACTGCCCTCCCCTGTCTGCCATGATCTCACACCCAACTGCCTATCCCTGCCAACCTGATCTTGCCCCCAACTGCCCTCTCCTGCTTGCCAATTTGGTTTCGATTGGTCTATTTCTATGACAGTCAGCATCAAAAGCTCCATCTCCTAGGCAGCCATTGGCTCCTCACAGTTCACCCAGATTTGATTCTGATTGGTCAGTTTCTATGCCAGTCAGCATCTCCAGGCCTATCTCTTGGTCTGATCAGAGAGGCAGGACTGATCAGTAGCCCCTAAGGAGGCCGAGAGAAATAAAGGTGCAGCTGCTGGAGAAGCCTGGAGAGAAAAAAAGAGTCAACGGCTGATCAAAAGCTGCCATGGAGGCTGCAGATCACACCCTGCCTCTTCTCTTTAGGCCTCTCTTTGGGCCTGATCTGCAGTCCCCTTGCCATAGCAACCAAGAACTGACTACAGGACTGACTTCTGGTGTTCGGTCAGTCATTACGGACCCTGGGTTTTTATATATTAGAATAATTTATATATAACATCATGCAGCTTAAAATTTTCAACATGATGATTTGATACATATAAACATTATGAAATAATTACCATAATAAGATAAGTTAACACATACATCACCTGAAGTAATATCTTTTTTGTATGTGTGTTGAGAACATTGAATGTCTACTTTCTTATCAACTTTCAATATAATACACTATTAAGTATAATGTTAAATATAATCACCATGCTGTATATTAGATCCCAGAACTTATTGAGCTTAAAACTGCAAATTTGCATGCATTGACCAACATCTTTTCATTTCCCCCATCCCTCAGGCCCTGACAATAGCCATTCTACTCTCTGTTTCTATGAGTTAATCTTTTTTTGATTCTGCATTTAAATGAGACCATATGATATTTGTCTTTAACTTATTTCACTTAACATGATGTCGTCAAGGTCCATTTATGTTGTCACAAATGGAAAGATTCTATTCTTATGGTTGAAAATAAATCCCATTTGTATGTGTGCGCATGCATCACATATTCTTTATTCATGGACACTTAGATTGTTTCCATTTATTGGCTACTGTAAATAATGCTGCAATGAACATTATTGTGAATTGGGAATACATACATATTTTTTAATTTGTATTTTCTTTTATTTTCAGATTAAATTCCCAAAAGTGGAACTGCTGGATTATATGGTACCCCTATTTTTTTTAATTTTTAGAAATCACCATAATGTTTTCCATTGTGGCTATAGCAATTTGCATTCTCACCAACAGTAGACAAGGTTTCTCTCTTCTCTTAATCCTCGCCAACACTTAGTTTTTGTCTTTTTTATATTAGCCATTCTAGCAGGTATGAGGAGGTATCTCATCATGGTGTTGATTTGCATTTTCCTTATGATTAACGATGTAAAGCATTTTTTCATATATTTGTTGTCCCATTTGTATACCTTCTTTAGAGAAATGTCTGTTCAGACCTCCTGATCATTTTTTACACACACTTTTATTGAATTTATTGGTGTGACATTGGTTACTAAAATTATGTAAGTTTCAGGTATACAGTTCTATAATACATCATCTGTATATTGTATTGTGTGTTCATCACCAAAAGACAAATCTCCTTACATCCCCATTTATCCCTCCTTTATCCTCTTCTACCTGCCCCTACCCCTCTTCCCTCTGACAATCATACTGATAACTATAATTTTTTTTAATCCTTTCACTTATTTTACCCAGCCCCCAACCACATCCCCCACAGCTATCAGTCTGTCCGCTGTTTCTATTAGTCTATTTCTATTTTGTTTATTTTGTTCATTAGATTCCACATATTAGTGAAATCATACAATATAGTGTTTCTATTAAGATCAGGATGTCTGCTTTCATTACTCTTATTCAACATAGTACTAAAAGTTCTAGCCATAGCAATTAGACAAGAAGAAATAAAAGACATCCAAATTGGAAGGGAAGAAGTAAAACTATCATTATTTGCAGATGACATATTATCATATATAGAAAACTCTAAATACCCCTCCAAAAATTACTAGAACTTATAAATGAATTCAGTGAAGTAGCAGGATACAAAATTAATATTCATAAATCGGTGACATTTTTATACATCAATAATCATTTCTAAATCAGATTGTTTTTTGCTATTGAGATGCATGAGTTCTTTATATATTTTGTGTATTAGTCCCTTATCAGATATATGATTTGCAAGTATTTTTCTCCCATTCAGTAGGTTTCTCTTTCACTTTGTTGATGGTTTCCTTTGCTGTGCAGTAGCTTTTTAATATGACATAGTCCCACTTATTTATTTTCTCTTTTTGAGACCACCCTCCAGCCATCTTTTCCAACTAAAATTTCAAATATACATTTAATTGCACTGGAGTTTTAAATGTTCCCAAAGTAGGACACAGCCATTGGATTAGAAATTGTGATATCATTTGTCTAACACTGTACATTTTAGTACAAAAAAAAAAAAAAGGAAACTTTGGTAGCCTCAATGTTAGTTCACCTGGACAGTTCCTTATTCTTTATCTCTTGCTCTTTTCATTACTCCTCTTCCTTTCAGAATCTTCATCTCCTTCATAATGTTACCCCTTCAAATAAGAAATTTCACCTTGAATCAAATTTTGCATTTAGCAAAATTTTCCTCTGCCAAGATTTTTGCTGAATCTACTCTGAAAGTTGATAAGTTATGACCTCATCATTGGTGAGCAGAATGGTGGCTCTTCAATCTTTCCCAAAGAACAATGGTTATGGCTATTTCCCCCTGGATTATATGGAGACAAACATACCTTATTTATTGATCTGTTGCTTCCTAGATTCATGTTATAACCATTCTTACTGCCACTTTACTTTCACTCCTAATATCTACTTCTGGCCCTGCTCCTCAATATCTATGATGACTATATTCCTATATCATTTACCTTTTCCACTGAATCTTGGCTCCTGATTTGAGCACAGCTTCCCCTGCAGTTTTGCTTTAGGAAAAAATATTTTTCCGTAACTATTTCTAAGGAATTCTTCCCTTTGTAATACCCAGGACTTCTCAAAGAAGAAAATAATCCTGAGTAAACATATATTTTCTGCTTTAATATAAATACCTACTGAAGCAAAGCATATTTATTTAAAAGGTCTAAGAAATTTGGAAGAAATAGTGAAGAAGGCTTTAGGGGTAAAAAAAAAATTGAAACATATATTTTTAAATTATTTCATTTACTTATCTATAGTCCTAACTTCTACAGCTGCCTGAAGGATGTCAGAATCATTTATAGCACTTGTATAAGACAAACTCTTATTGACTTGCACTAGTAATCTTATTTTAATGTTCTGCTTTGGAGACATGGTTAGACTGGTTTGCAATTCAATTAGTGAATATCAGGCATGGGTTCTTTAGAGAGAAAAATTTTATTTTTTTCACAGAAAGAAAAATCTAAATCTTTAAGAAATATTTGCTTTTTTCAATTAATTTAAATTCATATTGTCATTCGGAGGTAAGTGGAATATTCTCCCTCCTTTATTTTCATTTCTTCTTTCTGGTGTTTTATTCTTTTATAGTCTTCCCTTTTATAATGAGAAAAAAATTTAAGCATATACTATCATTCTGGGGAGGTTGAAAGAGATGCATAATGATGGACATGCTTGCTTTCTGCCAGACACTGTGTGAAGCTCTGTGAATTCAAGACAAGTAAAATCCAAACCTGGCTCTTTAAATAATTCACTGTTTATTTAGGGAAGCAGATACAGTGTAATCATTGTATAATCATTATTCAATATGATTATCATGCACATAAAGTTTTAAATGAAGTGTTAAGGATGAATAGATAAGGGAATAGTGAGTTTTGTTGGGGAGGTTTAGGATCATGTCACAAAAATTAAATTGTAAGTAGTGAAGAAATATGAAGGGTGGTTTGCAATAGGGATATCTTGGTCCACCATTGCTCAGAGTTGGCCTTAGAGTTTGAGGTCTGACTGATCCTCAAATGAGCCATCAATTAGATGCTGTCAGGTACAGAAGGAAAAGTATGATGATCACGAAGTTCCAAGGAGACTGTCCGCAGAGATTGACTAAGTGAGGCAGGCCAATCCAAGACTGGGCCAAGTGTCAGAAATAAGGCAACTAATCACACATGTCAAGCTGGGACATTCTAGCAACTTCATCTGAAATCAAAACCAAAAAGAGTCCAAACAAAACATACATGTTCGTACTAGGGCAGGGAGAAGGACACCAGCCATCTAACAGGTGTAGCTTAGGGTTTTTCAAAAAGAACCAGGGTTTAATGAGAGGAGCATGAAGGGGCCAGATTACCAGACATGCCTCTGAGGCAAATCCTCTAAGTAGTCATCTGCAGCTCGTAACATCTGCCTCAGCGCAGAGAGGATCAGAATGTCCTTTAAAGGGTCCTGCTCCCATTCTAGAGCATAATTTTCAACCATCAGAATATTATAAATAGGAATTTTTAGCATTTTTTGGATTTTCATTATCTGTAGGAAAAAAATAATTTAATAAGGATCAGTCTTACATATAAAATTTGACTGAATTTAAATATAATTCAAAAAAGAAACCAAAACAAAAACAATTAACAAATTATCTTCAAAATATAATTGTAATTCAGATAAATGCAGTTTTAAAGTGAGATTTAACCAGGCAATTGATCTTTTCTTTTAAATATATTTTTTATTGATTTTTTACTGAAAAGAAGGGAGAGGGAGAGAGAGTTAGAACCATGAATGAGAGAGAAACATCAGTCAGCTGCCTACTGCACACCCCCTATTGGGGATGTGCCTGCAACCAAGGTACATGCCCATGACAGGAATCAAACCTGGGACCCTTGAGTCCGAAGGCAGACACTTTATCCACTGAGCCAAACAGGTCAGGGCAATTATTTCTTTATTTACCTGTGAGTAAAATATTATTTTGACAATAGCTGGTTACACAGTGTTCTTTACCTGGCTTTGAGAAGTCATAGAAGTATTCATATTTGAAAAGTCTTCTTGAAGAACTTCGTGGTAATTTTTCACTTTAGTCAGCAAGGCTACCTGTGGTACACCTAGATCAGGTAGATAAATCAGTTATTTTATATCATAATCCGCAATGTGTCAGCAAGGTGATTAAATATATATAAAACCAGTTCTCTGTAGGATGGTTTTAAGATTTGGAGAATGAATTATCCCATAGGCAGTATATCTCAATATGGGACCTGAATTTCTTCAACTAAGAGAAATAATATTTTTCTTTCAACATGAGAAATTACCCTGTTTCCCCAAAAATAGGACAGTATCTTATATTAATTTTTGCTCCCAAAGATGCGGTAGGTCTTATTTTCAGGTGATGTCTTATTTTTCCATGAAGAAGAATGCGGTACACATTTATTGTTAAATGAAAATAAAGGAAATTTGTTACCTATATATGGTAGTACGGTAGTTGTCAACACAAACCAGACAAACTGTGAATCCTACAGTATCAAGAATTTACTCATTTATTCAATGACAATCATGTCATCATCTTCTGGAATATCATCATAACAATCCAATTTCTGAATTTCCTGGTGAATTTCTTGTGACTCCATTTCTTTCAGAATCAGTGGACCAAATCTCTCATGTTTAGCCTGGGGGTGGGGCTTATTTTCGTGGGGGGGGGGGATGCCTTATATTTCACTCAAAAAGAAACCTGTAAGAAGGTCTTTTTTTGGAGGATGTCTTATTTTTGGGGAAACACGGTATTACTAAATTTACACTATGTTGTAGTCATCTACTATTCTATTCAAATTCTGTATTTTAAAGTGTTTTGGGGTGAGTAGCTGATGGCTCTTGACAACTAAAAGGAACCCAAGAAAGAGATAAAGTGAAGAGTGTTGTGTGTCTACATTTATAAAAGCAAAATACACTGTTTTTGTATTTCTAAAGACCTCTTGCCTTTTCCCTCACACCACAGAGATGAATAAATCTCATTTGACTTCTAACCTAATCAAAACTCTCCTTTAGTAACAATCGCTTCCCCAGAAAAAAATAAATTATAAAATTGAGATTTCCAGGCTGCCTCTGGACTTTTTTTTTTTTCTTCTTCTTCTTCTTTTTTTTTTTTTTTTTTTGACTTTTTTTGTAGAGCTTTTTAGAATTTCCTCCTTACAGAAATCTTGAGTTTATTCATGTCCCTTCTCTTTATTCATGTCCCTGATGAATAACTAGTAAAGTTGGCTAATTAAAACCTATCCTCGCTGAAACCGGTTTGGTTCAGTGGTAGAACATCGGTCTGTGGACTGAAAAGTCCCAGGTTCGATTCCGGACAAGGGCATATACGTTGGTTGTGGGCACATCCCTGGTAGGGGTTTGCAAGAGGCAGCTGATCAATGTTTCTCTCTCATTGACGTTTCTAGCTCTCTATCTCTCTTCCTTCCTCTCTGTAAAAAATCAATAAAATATATTTAAAAAAACAAAACAAAAACCCTATCCTATAATATATAGGGTAGGACTCAATTGATAGGTATAAATTTTATCAAACCTCTGTTACAATGCAATTCTTCTCTTTCCAAATTAAAGGCTGTGAGTCAGCACAATTACATGCATTAAGCATCACCACCCAATATGATATGCAGCCATAAGCCCTTAAAAAATTAATTTCAAATCCGAACACTTCTGTAACTTAGTCTTATCCCAAATTCACTATGCTTTTAGATCTGTTAATTGCTTATATATTTACATTGAGTATATTTAATGTTTAATACAATCTTTAGATGCAGAATTTACCATTCCCATTTTACAGAAAAGGAAACTATAAGTTCAGTGCATTTGAGTTAACTTTACAAAGATCAAAAAATATGACTGTTTAAAAAAAATCTAGCTTTAATTAGGCGCTTAGTAGTTCTTTCCAACAATTGGGACTTTTTTAAAACACCGCGGGACACGGGAAAAATTGTTCAAAATCGGGACTGTCCCACCAAAAGCGGGACGATCTGGTCACCTTACACTAAGACTATGGTCTATACATTATTTTTATTTTTATTTTTTAAAATATACTTTATTGATTTTTTACAGAGAGGAAGGGAGAGAGATAGAGAGTTAGAAACATTGATGAGAGAGAATCATCGATCAGCTGCCTCCTGCATACCCCCCACTGGGGATGTGCACACAACCAAGGTACATGCCCTTGACCGGAATTGAACCTGGGACCTTTCAGTCTGCAGACCGACGCTCTATCCACTGAGCCAAACCGGTTTCGGCATGGTCTATACATTAAACTGCACAGATTTTTTGTTCAGAATCAAAATATAACTGTTTTTTTAATTGATATACTAAACAGTGAGGCTCTGGAGTATAAGTGCTCAAATAAGTCTTTACATTAAATTTTGTGGAAGTTCAATGAGAAGACTTCCAAAATTTGTGGGTCATTACTAAAGCAGTGCTGATAGCAAAATATGTAGAACTCAATGCCTGGAGTTGAAAACAGGAAAAGTCCATAATCGGTCATCTAAGTTCCCAACTACCACAACTCACCTAACATAAAGTAGATCATTTTAGTAGTTCTATGACTATTTTAAAATTGAATTTTTAATTTTAAAACTCCTGAAAAGAAATATCTAGGCCCAGATAGCTTCATTAGAGAATTCTCCTAAACATTTAAAGATAAATTAATATGATACCAATTCTACACAATCTCTTTCAGAAATAGTAGAGGAAGGAACACTTTCCAACTCATTTTATAAGGCCAGTATTACCCTGCTACCAAAGCCTCACCAGTCCAAAAAGGAAACTACAGACGAATATCCCTTAGGAATATAAATTTAATAAAATATTAAAGAAGAAAAAAATGTTCCCATGATTATGTCAACCTATGGAGAAAAACTATTTCAATACCCATTCATGATAAGAAATCAAAAATAGGAGAATTAGAAATAAAGAACTTCCTCATCTTGATAAAGAACAAATATATATTAAAAAAAACACTCATATACTAATGTTCATAGAAGCTTTACAATAGCCAAACACTAGAAGTAATCAAAATATCCTTTGATAGAGAATGGTTAAATTGTGGTATATCTATACCATGGAATGCTACTAAACAACAAAAAGGGATGAAGAATAGATATACACAACAATTTCTATGGACCTCAAAGAATATGAAACTGAGTGAAAAAATTGTTTAAAAAGGACATACTGTATAATTGCATTTATATAATATTAGAGGCCTGGTGCATAAAATTCGTGCACTGGGAGAGGGTAGTGTCCCTCAGCCCAGCCTGCACCCTCTCCAATCTGGGAACCCTCAAGGGATCTCCAACCGCCTGTTTAAACAAGCAGTCAGACATTTCTCTCACAATCCAAGACTGCTGGATCCCAAATGCTCGCTGGTCTGCCTTCCTGATTGCCCCTAACTGCTTCTGCCTGCCAGCCTGATCTCTCCCTAACCACTCCCCTGTCAGCCTGATTGATGCCTAACTGCTCCCCTGCTAGCCTGTTTGCCCCGACTGCTGTCCCCTACAGGCCTGGCCCCCCCCCTCCCCACAAACTGCCCTCCACTACAGGCCTGGGTTCCCCCCAAACTGTCATTTCCTGCAGGCCCAGTCACCCACAACTTCCTTCCTCTGCTGGCTTGGTCACCCTTAACTGCCCTTCCCTGAATGCTTGATGGCCCCCAACTGCCCTCCCTTGCAGGCCTAGTCCCTCCCAACAGCCCTCCCCTGATGGTCATCTTGTGGTGGCCATCTTGTGTCCACATGGGGACAGGATCTTTCATCACATGGGAATAGCCATCTTCTGTGTTGGAGTGATGGCCAATCTGCATATTACTCTTTTATTAGTATAGAGGCCTGGTGCATGGGTGGGGGGCCAGCTGGTTTGCCCTGAAGGTTGTCCCAGATCAGGGTGGCAGTTCCCTTGCGGTGTGGGGCAGTCTAGGTGAGGGTTCTGTGGTGGTTTTCAGGCTGGCCACACCCATTGGCAACCCAAGCAGAGGGCCTGGTTTCTGGGGTTTATTTATCTTCTACAATTGAAACTTTGTAGCCTGGAGTGAAGCCAAGCCTTCTGCTTGCTCCATGGTAGCAGCCATTTCTGTTGGGATTTATGTATCTTCCATAATTTAAACTTTGTAGTCTTAAGAGGATGCTTGGGCCAACCAGAATGTGTGGAAAGCTTGGCTTCCTCCATCGCTGAGGGCAACCCCAGCTTCCTGCTCTTTCCAGCTCCATGGCTGCCACCATTTCTGTTTGGGTTTATGTATCTTCTATCATTGAAACTTTGTAGCCTTGAGTGGAGGCCTAGGCGGGCAGGGGAAGGCAGAAAGCTTGGCTTCTTCCATCGCTGAGGGCAACCCCAGCTTCCTGCTCTTTCCAGCTCCATGGCTGCCACCATTTCTGTTTGGGTTTATGTATCTTCTATCATTGAAACTTTGTAGCCTTGAGTGGAGGCCTAGGCGGGCAGGGGAAGGCAGAAAGCTTGGCTTCCTCCATTGCCGGGGAAACCCAAGCCTTCCTCCTGCTCTCTGTGGCTGTAGCCATCTTGTTTAGACTTATTTGCATATTCATTCCTAATTGGCTGGTGGGTGTGGAATGTGGGCATGGACGGTGGTTTTAGTGGAGTAATGGTTAATTTTATTAAATAAGATTCTTAAATAACAAAATTATAGAATGAGAGAATAGATTGGTGATGGTCAAAAACTGGGGACGGTGGGGGATTAGGAGGTATCCTAAGGGGGATTTTTGTGTGATTGAATACTTCTGTATCTTGATTATAGTACTAGGTCACATGAATCTACACAGGATAAAACAGCATAGAGCTATACACACAAATTTACACAATGTCAAGTTCCTGGTTTTGATCATCCTGATCTAGTAACATCATGTGGTGAAATGATTCCCCTATCAAGCCAAAGGAAAATAACACATGACAAAAATTATAGCCATTTTAGTCTTTCAGGATTGAAGAGTAGGATTTAGGGCCTTTCCTTCAGTCAAGGGTGTGCACCAATCAACCCAGGGCTTAGGGAATGGGTGAAGCGTACATGCCAGCTCTCTGTATTATAATACCTTTGCAACTGCCTATGAAGCTATAATTCTTTCAAAATAAAAAATATTAATAAGCGAAATGGTACTCACCACAGCTTAATATTATTTTTTGAACTTGTTTGAACTTTGCCACCATTTTAGAGGAGAGACTGTTGATACAGTTGATATCTAAAACATAAGCCACACAGTGAATCCTGTCCTTCGGTGATGGAGAGGTGATGAAGGTAGGATAGTCACATGTAATTGGTTGCTGGGGATTAAACTGTTAGAGGAACATAAGGTAACATTTAGACAGTCTCCGCTGAATCCGTTAAGACAAAATTCATGTTTCAAATGTGACCATTATTAACCTCCAACCCGCATTTTCCCTTCCCGCAGCTTCTCCTCCTGCAGATTTATTAATGTTGCCTCTTCCATATTTCCTTTCCACTGAGAGCATAATGAATTATATCTTTGTTATAGAAAAACCACTTTGTTATTTTGGTGAAAAATTATCCATAGTTCACGTTATCCAGAAAAACTATCATTCTCAATGTTCCACATCATTTAAGACTGCTCTCTAAGCATTCTACATACTTAAATAAACTAATGAGTAGAGAGAAAAGGAGAGATAAAACTGAAAATCTCATTAAAAGTAAAATACTATAATTTCTTTTCATTTTTCCAGAAGGAAAAAAACTAAAATAAAACAGAACAAATACCAAATTTCAAATTCATGTTAATATTGCCTTACCACAAGACAATGCTCGTTCTAGGATTAGGAGAAAAGATGGCAAAACATAGTAAGAGATTGATTCATTATGTTTTAAATTTATCTTTATTACTGAAAGTATTACAGATGTTTTCCCTTTTTTTCTCCATTGGTCCTTTCTGCCCCTCTACACATAGTTTTAACTATGTATTTCATTGTTAGACTGAATTGGTTCATTTTTCTCCCCTGTAAAAAATGAAGGTATTAGTATGCTCATAATTTTTCTTTCTACTTTGTTCTTCCTCCCTATGTCTTTATGTCTTCCTAAATTGTGAGCTCCATGAAGATAAGAATTATGTTCTTATTTAAGTGTTTGTTTCTAGCAACTTAGTGTCTGACACAACTTAGGTTTTAAATAAATAGTTTTTAAAATAGTGTGTCTCAAATATATACATACATGCATTAGCAGCTGATACCTCAATTTTGAAAATTGAAATGTATTTTAATATTCACTGCCTTTATAATTATTCAAAGTGTTTGCATACATTTTTTGGGAAACCCTGTATGAGTACATGGCTATGATTTTCAATCAAACACAATTGAGAGGCAAAAGAAACTACTGTTTAGAAATCGAGGGCTAACTGTATTACATCTAGTACTTAAAAGAAAGATGATAATGATGGTTAACTTTTTGAGAATTTTGAGTACATCATCTCATTTATCTTTTCAGCCACCCTATAAGATAGACATTATTTTACCTACAATACATTTCACATATGAAAAAACTAAGACTTACAGAGACAAGTATATGACATGCTTATGGGTACACATCTAGGTAGTGGCAGAGCCAACCTTTAGATCTAGGGATTTAAGTAGTATTTAAGTAATGAATACTAAGTATTTACAGTATAACATCATGCTTCAACCAAAAAAAAATAAATTAGTTGTTCCAATGTTTTGTCTAAGTGATTAAAAAAAATCTGAAATTAAACTACTGCTTTACTATAAATATACATAATAATAAACAGTGATATACTAGTAAACACAATCTCCTCCTGACCTTTTACTGGAAGTAGAACCCTGCCTTTTGGCTATATTTCTTAATATTAAAGAAGAGCAATGCCGAGACTGGTTTGGTTCAGTGGATAGAGCGTTGGCCTGTGGACTGAAAGGTCCCGAGTTTGATTCCGGTCAAGGGCATGTACCCTTGTTGTGGTAACGTCCCCAGTAGGGGGTGTGCAAGAGGCGGCTGATGAATGATTCTCTCTCATCGATGTTTCTAGCTCTCTATCCCTCTCTCCCTTCTTCTCTGTAAAAAATCAATAAAATATATTTTTTTAAAAAGAAGAGCAATAACTCTACTTATATGAATACTTACTCATTTAAAGTACAGTAGTGTTGTTTAGTGTTGAAATCAACTTATGATAGTTAAAATTCCTTATGGAGTAAAAAATCAACAAAAAGCATAATAAGATTATTTGAAATGTTTTAGAGCACTAGATAGTTCTTACGTGATATCTGTCGGGCACGCAGCCTTTTAAGATGTGGGGTATGTCATCCATACACAATCCTACTCCCTCTTTCTCATCCAGCCCCATGGTGTCACACAACTTAATTGGCAGAGATTTCCCATCTTTTCCATCTTTAATAGAGTATATCCTATACTGCAAAAAAGGGGAAGGTGTAAAATTGCATTCTTCAACCAGCATTCATGACAGAGACTGGTTAATATTTGAACACTGCTGTCCTCAAACATTTTTGTTTCAGAATCACCTTAGACTCTTAAAAATTATTGAGAATTCTACAGATATTTTATGTGAGTTATATTTATTAATACTTGACATAAATTAAAACTGAAAGAATTTTAAACATTTCTTAAATCATTTTAAAATGATTTAATATTACATAACCTAAACAAGATTTCTATGAAAAAAATAAATAAAATTACTTTCCAAAAATATTATTCAAAAAGAGTGGAATTGATTTATTTTTTACATTACTTTTTAGTGTTTGATTAAAAAAGATAGCTGGATTCTCATATCTACCTCTGCATTCATTTTGTTGTAATATATTATTTTGGTTGAAGTACATAAAGAAAATCGGGCCTCATACACATGTAGTAGGAAAGAAAGGAAGTACTTAATTTTACATTTTTCAGAGAATCTTGTATATTCCTCATTCATATACATGAAAGTTCAACAAGTGGTAAGTTCTCAAAGATTAGCTGCAATATGGAATTTGTGACTTTTCATACTCTGTTACATTAAATTCACTGATCTATCTCACACAGAAATATATTTTACCCACAGATAATTTTGTAACCAGATGCATTGGTCATTTAAAAATATCAGTTCACTGGCTGAATTACCTAGATTTTCCAAATATTAGCTCATTTCATTGTACAAATATTAGCTCGTTTCAAAACATCATATCTCTTAAAACCACTATTAATCTGATCAGGTGACTGTTAGAAAGTTATCAAGCTCAGCATGGTGGATATATGTTTCTTAAAGTTCTAATATTTTGTTTACACTTAAAATGTTATTGGAAACAAGCACTGTTGGTTTTACTTGTAGTGATAGGTTTGCTCTGTGCATTTTCCAAAAAAATAACTACCAAGTATACAGTATGAATAAGCAAGTATTTCATTTTCTTTTTTATTAAAATTTTGTTACATGAGAAAATTTCAGCTCACAACTCAATCACATCCATACCTTTACCCATCAACCACCATACTTTAATTAATATGCATTGGAAGCACTTTATATATACTTCTCACTTCATTACACAAAGTATTAAGATGATGCATATCAAAAAACAAAATGTGATTCTTGAAAATCATAGAAAATGCTTTCAATTATTGAATATGGCACTAAAATGGGCCATTACTGTTTTATGGTAAATTTTGCACTGGCAGTAAATAGCATATAAGTGATCAGAAGATAACATTATTAGGTTGTAGTGGTTTTAGATAAACACAACTTGGTTATGAAATTTCCTATTTATTCTTTTTTTATTATTCTTTGTTTGATTATATGGTAACATTTTTACAAATATAAAATGGAAATTTCTAGGTAAATATTGCATCATACTTTGAAGACCTTTAGAGTAACAGTTTTTAAATGGTATTAGTATTTATTTCCTTAAACATAAAATCTTCCCTAATAATAGACAAACATGTAAATTTACCATACCTCCACTACACCTACAGCCAATAAGAGTGAGTATGCAAATTAACCCAACAAAGTTGGTGGGTTAATTTGCATATGCAGGTGCGGAATGGCTGGGAGGGGCGGGATGCCTACTATGAGGAGGAGGGAGAGTGGTGGAGGGAGCTACAGGGGAAGTGTTCTGGACAGAAGGAAGGACTTGCCAGCTCCCGGGCAGGCCGAGTGGGGATGTGCTGACTCCTGGGCAGCTGGGAGTGAAGCCAGGGGAAGGAAGTCCTATTCCTGTATGAATATTGTGCAATGGGCCTCTAGTTTGTTTATAAATAAGATGGTGTTTGTAGGAAAATTTTGTTTTTTGAAGTTGTCTAGATCCTATCCATGTGAGTGGTTTTATTTTATACTAGAGACCCAGTGCATGCTCCCTCTCATAGTATGGGAGCCCTGCGATCTCGATCTTAATGGACCTCTAGTCTGTTTAAAAATAATATAGTGTTTGAAGGTTGACCCACCAAAGGGAATTATTATTTTGTTGCTCATTATTATTTCTTAAAAAATAATCTTATGTAATGGGAAATTCTGTATCACATAATTCTCATTTCTTTTTTTATAAAAAGAGAAAATCATTTCAATCCTGATAAAGCCATGTGGGACATGAGCAAATATACAATAAATATAATGATTTTTTGCAGCAACCTGGATGGAATTGGAGAACATCATGCTGAGTGAATTAAGCCAGCCAATGAAAGAAAAACACCACATGACCTCACTCATTTGTGGATAATAAAGAACATTATAAACTGATGAACCAAAAGGTAGATATAGAGACAGTATATCAACAAGCAGACTGTCAAATTACAGTGGGGAGGGGAGGAAGATCTGGGGGAGATAATAGATCAACCGAAGGACTTTTATACATGCATATAAGTACAACCAATGGACATAAAACTCTGGGGAGGGAGGGGATGTGTGGGAAGGAGGGATGGGGGCAAAAAAAATCAATAAAATATATTAAAATAAATAAATTTAAAAAAAGAAAGCCAAAATAAAAATAAATAAATAAATAAATATAATGATTGAAGATTTACACAAAGTTTTTACAGTTTTATTGCCCCCTAAATATTCTTCATATAACTACTTCATATAACTACTTCCCATCCATAAAAATGGAAAGCCTTGCCGTATAATATAATTTCATGGAGATAGTTCTCATTCAACTTTTACTCTTATTTTACAGTTGATTTAGCATTTAATTATTTATTAATTAAAGGGATGTTATTGGTCTGAGAGAAAATGGCAAAAAAAATCAACAAACCTAATAACTATAATTTATAAAAATCCTCAGAAAATTCAGAGATAACTTACCATTTCAGTAATGCTAGTGACATCAGACCCCACTGCGGCTTGGCGAGTCATATGGCCTTGGAAAACAGACTTCACTGAATTGAAAAAACTGGACTTTCCAGACCCAACTGGACCCAGCAAGAGAATATTAATTTCTGAAACCAAATCTGCATAGGGTCTGTAGCCTCTGAGCTCTGCTAGGAGCCCATTTCTGTACCTGATAAAATATGGTGGTTAAATACAATAGCCAAACTTCCATAAAGACCAGCACAATTCTTCCAGAGCTTCTTGACTTCAATTTTAAAAAAAATGTCTTAATTACTTATTATGTTTATATTGACATCTTCTATCATATGATTTGAATGGTCTGATTTTAATGGTCCAGGTAATGTACTTTGTGCTTGAAGAAAATGCATTTGTCTATATCTGACTAAAGTTAAACATTGACCAGAAACCAAATCATTGCCAAACTATTAGCTTTAGACCACATACATCTATAAGAAATATCAACAACAGTGAAAATGCATTATTATTTTCGGTAATATTATATTAAAAAGAAATACAAATAAAATATATGTAATGCAGATATATTTACATATAATTGGGGAAAGATGCCTTAGTTTTAAAAACTTACTGACATTCTCCAAAAACTTTATTCATACAGAAAAATTTCAGACATTGTCTAAAATAGTCATCTATACTTTGTCTAGAAAACTTTGAATATTACAGGTCAAAAGTAAAACCTGAAGTTAAATTGTCATCCACTTTTTAAAATTTCCTATAATTGGTCATGTCTTGTTTTGTTGTTATTGTTCTAAATTGCATTGAACATATTATGTCAATAATATCATAATGCATTTTTATCACTCCAAATGATTTTTATTTTGATAATTCTTTAATAGTGCCATATATACAATTATCCTAAACTAGAGGCCCTCAGCCTGGCCTGCCCCCTCTCACAATCCAGGAGCCCTCTGGGGCAGGAGGCGACACAACAATACTCCATCACATTTCTTCTTATGCCACTGCCAGCAGCACAAGCCTCAGCCAGCCCTGGTTACCTAGGCCTTGGGTGGCCCTGCTGGGCTGGGCAGCCACCATCTGAGGCTTGCCTGCACCTCAGGCTGGCCCTGGGGGGCTGGGGGGCTGAAGGGATGGGGCACCGCCATCTTGTGGCCATAGTCACTGCCACTTCTGAGAGTGTGGCAGTCAATTAGCATATTCCCTCCTTATTGGTTGTGGGTGCTGCCATCTTTGCGACAACATGAGGGTCAATTAGTATAATCTCTATTAAATAAGGTGAAATGAGTAATTAGATAGTCCAACTTACTGTGCAACTCCTGTTATCCTCCTTATGTAGCCTTTATCATCATTAATTCCTACAGGAAATAAAACAGCACCATAATTTTTAAAACTTCTTTAGATCTCTTTTTAAAGTCTTATTAAATGTGGTCTACCTTCTAAATAAGGCATTAAGTGTGGTTGCATAACCCAGAGTTGAGCTGTTCAATGAGGAACTAGTGCTGGCAAAATAATAAGAAGAGGAAAGAGTACCTTCTCAATGTGGCAGGATATTAAGAAGCTGGAAAAATCCCTGGACAAGTGGAATGTGGAAACTGAGGCAAGATAATTAAACAAGGCCAAACAATTTTAACAGTTTACAGCCAGCTAGTAAATCACAAGGTTTTATACACCCTAACCAAGGACACTTGAAAACAAATGGTTTATACCTCTTCTCCCTAAACAGAAGATACATAGCTTAAATCAACTTGGTCAGGGAAATAAAGAACAGAGAACAAGATAATGCCATTTGTGCCAGATAAACCCATGGACAGATGAAGTCAGGGAAACAAATAACAAAAGCTTGATTAAAGCCACATATACCCAAGATAAAATTAAAACAGTAAACAGACTAAAGAAAAATCTCAAATACCCCTATACATTCAATTTGATCTATCAGCATATTTAAAACATACCTGGAAAGCTAATGAATATTCTACTGAAACTCTCCCCTAAGATTCTCACCCACAGAAAAAGAGATAAAAACCCTCAAGACAAAGACCCTGTGTGAAGCATGGACTTTTTACTTCCTCCTAAACTCCAAGGGTTCCTATGAGGTTTGCAAGGAGGGAAGCAGCAGGTAATGATAGCTCTTCCCAGGTTTACTCCCCACCCCATTCCCCAATCATGTCTCCAAGGCCCTCTTTTTCTCTGACTTTTCAGTGAATTAAAAGCATCTCTAACTTGACTCACTTCCATCTCTGCGGCCTTCACTTTCCAGTGAGCTAAAAGCAGTCCCACCTTGGCTCACTTCTTCCCTATAACCTTTCTAGAGAGCCAAAGCAGAGCATCGCTTAAGCAATCCCTGTTGCTTCTTCAACCCAAAGTCTTTTGTTTCATTGCCCCAGCTTTAATAAAAACACACACTCAAAATAACCCAGATTTATGCTGTGGAATACTTCCTACACAAAGTCTCAAGAACCCACACACTACAGGCCAGCCAGCAGCAGACACACTCCATGCCAGTCCCACCTGGTAACATCAATACATTAACTCACTCTGCAAACTTTCACATAAACATGCCTAGAAATTTTCAGACTAACCAAAAATCAAAATAGACCTGCTATCTATCTATCGTAAGGTCTGTCTCTCTCTCTTTCTATCTTTCTCTCACCCCCCCAACCCCTATTTCCATTTCTGTCTCTTCACTTACATTTACCAATTTAGCTTGCTCAAAACTGCCTATACTTTCCAGTATCCTAGGTTTCCTTTGGAGTTTATGAAAGAGAAAATTGATGGCAAAAAATCCCTCTCACTTTTCCTTTTGCTTATAGATCAGCTAGAGGCCCAGTGAATGAAATTCTTTCACGGCTAGGGTCTCTTGGCCTGGGCAGTGATCAGAGCTGATCAGGGCCTTCTGGCTACCGGCCTGGGCCTTCTTTCATTCTGTACCACCCCCTGGTTGTTAGCTAACATCATAGCAAGTGATTGGTCGAACTCCTGTGTGGACAATTTCCATATTAATCTTTTATATATTAGAGAGATTATAACCTGTCAAACACAAAGACTGAAAATGTAGAAGTATCTAACATACCTTCAACGCGGAAAACTTCACATTCCAAATAATTTGAGGAAGTGAAATATTGTATTCCTAATTCAATCATTAATGATTGATGAATAAAAACTTTGGACTCATGTGGAATTAAGGAGAAAATGATTTCATTAGAGGAATAAAATGCCAGTTTTTCAGAATCAATTTGTGCTTCTACATTAAAAACTTCAGTTGTTCTAGTGTTATTAAGTGAAAAATAGAAAGAATAATTTTGATTTCTACACTTTTTATCCATTTGAGGATAGTGCCCAAATAAAAATGCCCCAACAATACAGTTGGGCATGTAAATCACTGTTATAGTGGATCCTTGATGATTGCACATATCAAGCATATTTTCAATGGAACATTTATGTACACTAGACTTATAAAAAAGACTCAAGGAAACATTTCCAAGCAGCTTTTGCAGAATCTTTTCTTTATTCCATGTCAATCTGGTTGTCATTTCCATTGTTCTGTATCTAATGGGAAAAACAAAACAAAAACAATAACAGGTTAAGAGAAACATATACCCTGTTTCCCTGAAAATAAGACAGTGTTTTATATTAATTTTTACTCCCAAAGATGCGCTAGGTCTTATTTTCAGGGGATGTCTTATTTTTCCATGAAGAAGAATATGGTACACATTTATTGTTAAATGAAAATAAAGGAAATTTATTACCTGTATATGGTATGGTAGTATGGTAGTTGTCAACACAAACCAGACAAACTGTGAATCCTACAGTATCAAGAATTTACTCATTTATTCAATGACAATCATGTCATCATCTTCTGGTACATCATGATAACAATCCAATTCCTGAATTTCCTGGTGAATTTCTTGTGACTCCATTTCTTTCAGAATCAGTGGACCAAATCTCTCATGTTTAGCTTAGGGGGAGGGGCTTATTTTTGGGGGGATGCCTTATATTTCACTCAGAAGGAAACCTATAAGTAGGTCTTATTTTCAGAGGATGTCTTATTTTCGGGGAAACATGGTAACATAGTGATTTAAAGTAGAGATTTCTGCTTCTAGTTCCAGTAGTTATTTTTTCTCTGACCTAATTAAAACAAGTAGCTGACACACAGGCCACAGTTCCCCAGCCCATGAATTAAAAGATAGAAATGAGAAACTCATACAGAAAAGACCTCACAAAGAAAGAAATTGAAATATGAAAAGTGTTAACAGTTATGGAGGTCCTAAAGTGGCAAAATGTAACATAAGCCATCATGCCAATTCTTACAATGAGAAAATTTGGAAAAGCAAGATAAAACTGTAAAATATATAGATCTGAAAGCATTGGAGACCTAACAAAGCAGTGAAGAATGTTTTATTTTTATTTTTTGCAAAGATTTCTAAAAAAAAAAAAAAAATGAATATAGAGAACTAAGCTTGGCTTTTGGGAGCACATTTCCCAGAGATGCACTTATCAATTATAGAAGAGGTACCTAAGTTGCTGAGCAATTAGCCTAAATGCTCACTAGACTCATAAAGCTAAGGAAATATGGCATGCCATGGAAATGCTTAGCAACTCTCCCTCGGGGTTAGGATTCTGAAGAACACAGAATAAGTGAGGGTGGGTGGACTGGAAGTAGACAGATTTAATTTCATTTGCTAGTAATCTCCATGTATGACAGGGTTAAGATAAAGCATCTGGATGCATGATGCTTACAAAATAAATCTTGTCTAAGTAAAGAGAACATTGGTTAGCTTCAAATTATCTCTGCAATCTTTTTTTTTTTTTAATACCAAATGCCTCATACTGATCATAAACACAGGGACAAAACAAAACAACATGCTAGAAAGCCAAGTAAAAAAAACAACAACAAACTTATATTGGAGTTACCCACACAGATTTTTAAATAAATATGCTTGGCTTATTCAGATAATTAAAACATAAAATTTAATGGTTGACAGCACAATGGAAAAAATTAAAAAGAAAAAAGAAATTCTGGATTTAAAAAAATCTATAAACCTGAATTAAAAACTTGAAGAATACATTTAACATCAATTTATACACATTATAAGGAAGAATTGGTCAGAAGAAAACACATCAAATGGAAGCAATGAGACAAAATACAAATATGATACAATTATAAGGACATTCTACTATAGTTAATTTTCTCTCTACAGTCCCTGTGCTTAAAATTTTTCATTATTCATATGCTTTCATATGAACAACAGAAGTATGATCATTAACACCAATTTCATTCAGAAATTCCTTTTCTAAGAAAGAAAAGCAGGCCGTTTTCTTCACACAAGGAGAACACATTGGATGGTAGGAAGTCGCTTACCCATTTTTAAAAGCTGGATCAGGCTTAAATGGAGTGCAAGCTGCTTCATCTGGCTTGGCCACCTGAAACATTCTGGAGACAGAAAGTTCTGCTGAGATCCTTGACTTCCTGGTCTGAGAGAAAGGAAACTGAAACTCAAAGCAGCAAACAGCCTGCAGCATGCCACGTGTCATTAAGTTTCTTTCTCCCAACCTTAAAGAGACAGAAGAAAACAAAACAGAAAAGAATAAGATTCCCACTGAGCACATGAAAATGATCTTTGATTCCCTATATACAGGCATTCATGAAAAGGCAAATATTAATTTTTAAAATTCCAATAAAGCTAATAGCTAACAATAGATTATATGAAGTAAAGGACTAAATCTGCTATTTGGATGATATAGTAGTAGAAAACACCCAATCAGAACCATAAAGAGAAAAAAAAAAAAAACCTATAAAAATTACTATAATTTAAAGGGCCTCCGAGATAACAAGTGTACCAACATTTGTATCACAAGGTTATCAGAGCAAGGAATTGAAGTTCCATTTGAAGAAATAATGACAAAAAAAGCTTCCTATTTCTGGTGAAGAAATTAGACATACAAGCACAGGAAGTACAGAATCTCAAACAAGATAAGCTCAAGATATATCAAGATATATCATAATCAAAAGATCAAAGATTACAAAAAGAAAAAAAGATTAAAAACAAGAAAAAAGATTAAAAACAAGATTAAAAACAAGAAAAAAAGCAGTTAGTTACCTATTCAGGAGCTTCCATAAGACTGATTTCAGATGATTTCTCAATGGAAACTATGCAGGCTAGAAGAAACTGGCACAAAATATTCAAAGTGATGAAAAGTGTAAAGACCTATTAACAAGATTACTCAGCAAAACTATCATTTAGAATTAAAGGACAGATAAAGAGCTCCACAGAGTAGAAACAGATAAAGGTGTTTTACAAACCAGTATTACAAGAAATGGTAAATGGTCTTTTTTAAGAAGAGAAAAAAAAAAAGATAACAATATGAATAATAAAATGGCAATAAATACATAGTTATCAACAATAACTTCAAATGCAAATGGATTAAATGCTCCAAAAGACATAAGATGGCTGAATGCATAACAAAATAAGACCCATACATATGCTGCCTACAAAGAAATTGGAATGCAAACTGGTAAAGCCTTTTTGAAGGGGAATTGAACAATATGTAAGAAAAGTATGCATGTCTTTCTCTTTTGGCCAATAATCCTACTTCTAAGAATCTATCTTGGAAATACAATGCAAAAAGTACATATACAGAAGGTTATGCACTGGATCATTGTTTATCATTGAAATATATTGGAAAGAGCCTAAATGCCCACACATAAGAGATCAGTTGAAGAAATGACGGTACAATACACAGTGGAGAACTACACAGAATATACTGTTAAGTGAAAAAAGTGCAAAAAAAAAAAAAAAAAAAAGAATATTTATAGTAATCCAACTTTCATGTAAGGAAAAAGAAAATATACACGTTTCTACTCATTTGTGCAAAAGATATCTTAATATAAAAAAAAATATAAAAACCAGGAACCGTAACAAGCAACCAAAGATTTGACCAAACACTGGAAGTCAGTGCCGTGGCAACCCAGCACTGACTGCTAAGGGGGCTGTGGATCAGGCCCAGAGAGAGGCCAGGAGAGAGAGGCAGGGTCTGATCTGCAGCCTCCATGGCAGCTGTTGATCAGCTGTTGCCTCTCTCAGGGCTTCACCAGCAGCCACACTTCTGTTTCTCTCCAGGCCTCCACATGGGCTGCTGATCAGCCCCGCCTCTCTGATCAGGCCTGGAGATAGGCCCAGAGACACTGACTGTTATAGAAGCTGACCAATCAGAACCAAACCTGGGTCAACTGTGAAGAACCCATGGCTTCCTAGGAGGTGAAGCTTTTGACACTGACTGGCACAGAAACTGACCAATCAGAATCAAATTGGCAGGCAGGGGAGGGCCATTGGCAGGCAGAGGAGGGCCATTTCTGGAAATCAAGCCAGCAGGGGAGGGCAGTTAGGGGCAAACAGACAGGCAAGCAGAGGCAGTTAGGAGTGACCAGGCAGGCAGACATAGAGATTAGAGGTGATCAGACAGGCAGGCAAAGAAATTAGGAGCAATCAAGCAGGTAGGCAGGTGAGTGGTTAGAAGCCAGCTGTCCTAGATTGCAAGAGGGATGTCCAACTGCCAGTTTAGGCCCGATCCCTATTGCTTAAACCAGGAGTCAGGCACCCCCTAAAGAATCCCAAATTAGAGATGGTGCAGGCTGGGCTGAAGGATCCTCCCTCCGTGCACAAATTTTGTGCACTGGGCCACTAGTACAGGAATAATAAAGCAGAAACTAAAGAGATTGGTTAGTAGCAAGTAGGAAAAGGATAAAATAAAAAGGTAAGTAAGAAAGAGGTAGTAAGTATAGGGAAAAAGCAACACTTCTCAAAGTATACACTTTTGTATGGCTATTACTCTTAGAACTATACTAATGCTTCACACTAAAATAAATAAATAAATAAATCATTAAAATCAATGAAAATGTAAGGGGAAATCAAAACACAATAGAGTAGTTCCAGTTTTTAACTGCAGTTTTTCTTTCTACTGGTTCAATTACCTGGAGTCAACCATAGTCTAAAAATATTAAATAGAAGATTCTAGAAATGAAAAATTTCTAATTTTAATTGAATGCCTTATTGAGTACCTCACCTCATCACGTATGTATCTCTCACACCATAACAAAAAGGGTGCGTATTTGATAAAGATATTTTGAGGGAGAGAGAGGAGGTAGGGAAAGAGAGAAAGACCACATTCATATAACTTTTATTCTAGTATATTTTATGATGATTTTGTTTTATTATTAGTTATTAGTTATTAGTTATTATTGTTAGTCTTTTATTGTGCCTAATTAATAAATTAAACTTTGTCTGACATATGAATATATACATAGGCAAAATATACGGTATATATATGGTTTGGTGTTATCCTCAGTTTCAAGCATACATTGGGAGTAAATAAAGGCAACTACTCTATAGACAATAATGAATGAACCAATTTGTGTGCCTATAATTAATATAACATTGAAGGAGAGGAATGGGGAGGAAGAGAACTAACCTAAATAACTACAGAAAACAGTATTTTGACTATATACTCAAAGGATAAAGATATAAGGAACTGTAAAACACCATATTCTGGTTAATAAATGTATTAACCATAAAGATTCAGGTTAGGAACTTTGAAACATTGTTCATACTAAAATTAAAGAAAAACTCTAATAAATACATTGTAAATAAAAAGTTCTAGGCTTTTCTTTGTCAAAAACATTACAGATAAGAAAAAGAAGGCTAGCAGGAATCCTATGATGATGTTTTGGAATTGGTATAAGCACACATACAAAGAGATAGATAAAGAAATAAAAATAGACATTTGTTTGTGTGTGAATTAGGATAGAAACATATTTCTAGAGCTGTCCACCGAGAAAGCAATGGCACTGTAGAAGTGAGCATGTTTAGTATAAGATCTTGGTTTCTAAATACAGTCATGCACGGCTTAAATATACATTTTTAAAATAAATTTTTATTGTTCAATTATTACAGTTGTTTCTCCCCCATAGTTCCCCTCCACCCAATTCCCACTCCACCCCATGCTTTTACACACACACCCTCGCCATTGTCCTCATCCATAGGTATAAGATTTTTGTCCAATCTCTTCCCGCCCCCCCACACCCTCTTCCCCTAGATAATTGTCAGTCCACTCCTTTTCTGTGCCTCTGATTTTATTATATTCATCAGTTTATTCTGTTCATCAGATTTTTTATTCACTCGATTTTTAGATTCACTTATTGATAGATATGTATTTGTTGTCACTTTGTTCATAATTCTTATCTTTACCTTTTTATTCATCTTCTTAGAGAATACCCTTCAGCATTTTATATAATACTGGTTTGGTGGTGATGAAGTGCTTTAGCTTTTTCTTGTCTGTGAAGCACTTTTTCTGACCTTCAATTCTGAAGGATAGCTTTGCTGGGGAGACTAATCTTGATTGTAGGTTCTTGCTATTCATCAGTTTGTATATTTCTTGCCACTCCCATCTAGCCTGCATAATTTCTATTAAGAAATCAGCTGACAGTCATATGGGTACTCCCTTGTAGGTAACTAACTGTTTTTCTCTTGCTGCTTTTAAAATTTTCTCTTTGTCTTTTGCCCTTGTCATTTTGATCATGATGTGACTTGATATGGTCCTCTTTGGATTCCTCTTGTTTGGGGTTCTCTGTGCTTTCTGGTCTTGTAAGTCTATTTCTTTCACCAGGTTGGAGAAGTTTTCTGTCATTATTTCTTCAAATATGTTTTCGGAATCTTGCTCTCTCTCTTCTTCTGGTACCCCTATAATTTGGATGTTGGTACACTTAAAGTTGTCCCAGAGGTTCCTTATACTATCTTCATATTTTTTAATTCTTTTTGCTTTTTTGCTTTTCTATTTGGGTGTTTTTTTCTTCTTTGACTTAATTCTTAGGGTTCTCTAGACTGCTGTTAGATCTCTGTATATTATTCTTTATTTCAGGTAGTGTATACTTAATTTCTGATTGGTCCTTTTCATATCCTGAGGGTCTCACTAAATTTCTCGGAGGTTTCTAGAAGATTCTTGAATAATCTTATAACTATGGTTTTGAACTCTATATCCAATATTTTGCTTTTATCCATTTCTTTCATTTGTGACTTGTTTCTTTGTCTCTGTATTTTGGCTGCTTCTCTGTGGGTAGCTGCTAAGTCTCCTTGAGTTGATAGAGCAGCCTTGTATGGTTGGTGTCCTATAGGGCCCAGTGTCTCAGTCTTCCCAGTCACCTGAGTCAGATGCTCTTGTGCACCCCTTTGTGGGGTGTTTGCATAGTCTTATTGTTGTTAACCCTTGATTGCTGTTGATATCACTGGGAGGAACTGACCTCCAAGGCAATTAGCTGTGATGACCAGCTGTGTCTACACTGGAAGATCTGTTGCGCAGGAGACACCCTTATGGGGTAAGACTTGCTTCAGTAGGACTTTGGTGCTCACTGATCCTGCCCCTTGAGTGTGTCTCTTATAGATATGAAGAGTTTTTATCTGGTATAATCTCACTCTGACTACTGGTTATACTGGCTCTTGGATCTCCAAGGAGATGCAAGGTGAGCCACTGTCTGGGGACAC